ACTCCATCCGGGGCGGCGGCAAGCGGACGACAGAGTCCTGCACGGCAAGGATTGACGAATGCGCAAGAGCAACTATCCGGCGTTTCAACATTTGGGCGGCCAACACCAGCCGTTAGGGGCCCTCCACCCGCGGCGCAAAGCGGACGACAGAGTCCTGCAGAACGACCTTCACACGCTCAGCCGCAACCGAGCAACGATCAGCGTCGGCCTCAACCGGCAATGGTGATATCCCCTCAGCCAGGATCGATTCCTCCCCAGAGGCCAGCTCAAGGTGCCACCACTCACCATCCCAATCCAGGCACCGGACCAGGCGCACTCAAAGGCTTGCAGCAGTCTGGTCTCCCTGTGGCTAGAGGAGGTTCAATGCGTGGCAACCCGATTTCGAGGGGTAGAGGGTCGGCCGTTAGTCGAGGAGGCCCACAAACCCTCGACACTAGTCGATCGCAAGGGCAGCAAGGAGGCAGGGGAAGTCCAACTAGTGCAGGGCTAAATGCTGGGGCTAGGCAGTTCATACCTGGCAACAAGAGGCCAAGGGATGACGGCCAGGAGGGAGGTGACGGTGGTAACGGGAAGAGGATAAGAGGTGATGGCGGTCCGGCCTGAGCAAAGAGCGTAGATGTACTCGAGATATCATACATGGCAAAAGATCTGACGCAGCGAGCGGCATTGCATTTGCGGGGGGGCATACTCTTATGGAAAAGAGCGTCACAGAACTGCTCTAGCTTCGACTGTATCAATATTACGTGGTCGCTTTACCTTGTTGATAGGAGCATTTGGCATAGTATACTACGTAACTGAAATACATGGTTCGTGTTGTAGGATGAACACAATATAAAACATAGCTTTCGTGTCCACTGCGGGTATCAGAATAAGGGGGTCCCCCAGAAGGGAAAAAAAAAAAAAATTCGTGATACTAACGTGAAAACGATATAATATTAATCAAGCATGACAGCTCGACCCAGCCTTACAAATCACTCCTCTACCTCCAAACTCCCGACGCCGCCCCTGAGTTCTACTCCCACAACATTGATATCCGCATCCGCTTCTTGCACTGGCACCCACCTGATCACACTTGGATCGAAATCAATCGTGCAGCTCCGTGCTCGTCTTACGTCAAATTATGGGCCCATCAGCGTAGGAGACGGATGCATCATCAGCGAGCGTGCCTCGATCGGCCTCCTCAGCTCCCCTCAGAATGAGAAAGAAGCAAAAGGAGTGAGGCTCTCATCGGGTGTCCTCATCGAAACCTGTGCCGTTGTCCAAGGCGCATCCATAGGTGCTTACACAATCATCGAGGCTGGAGCCAAGATTGGCAAAGGGACGGTGGTTGGTGCGAATAGCAAAGTCTGTGCAGGGGTGGAAATTGGAGAGGGGATGGTAGTCGATGATAATACTGTGGTCTATGGGAGCGGAGGAGAGAGGAGGAAGGAGAAGAAGGGCCTCGGGCTGGATAGGGCGAGAAAAGTCTGGGTGGATTTGCAAGAGGACACATTGAGGAGAATGTGGACTGGCAAATGAGAACAGCAAGATCCGGTTGAAGGGTCAAAGCTGTAAATACAAGACGTGAGCTTATGATCCATCAAAGGACAAAGCGGTTCGTAGAAATCTCCTCTGTGCGTTACCAGACAGACCACAATCGCTGACTCGTCCAAGCATGCAAGCTTTATGTTAGCAGACTAATATTTATCCTTGGGTCGAAATCTTTGTTTCTGCCCTTTCCTCACTCGTTTGCAGGGAAATTGCTCCCAAGAGCAACATGCCGCACCAATCACTACATGCACAAACAAAGGCTTCTTGGGATGCAGCTATGGCCGGGATGATCAAATGAAGCGATGGAAATTATCATTGCGGAGATTTGGTTACCGATAACACAGAAGTCTTGCGCGAATCCCTACAGATTCACCTTTTCCCAATCTATTTCTGATACAGTCATATTTACAAGGCCTGATTGAAATTGAACTTCTCGCCCACAAGATTCTCCCCTAGAGCCCACAGCCTCGCAGTGGCTTCCTTGTCTACTGCATGTTCGGCAGCGGTAGCAATCTGACAGTCATTGCGCCTGACCGATCTACAAGACATGAGTATGAATTTTCGCAAGGGTGGCTGAAACGCTACCTTTCGGATTGGGATCAAATGCAACGAATAAGAAAGTCGCCGCGCCCTGGTTTGGAGTCTTGTAGAACATGTGCGGATTTCTGAACCCTATGGGCATGTCACGCTGGAGCTCTGTTTCAACCACTGCGGAGCTGGTTAGCAATCAAGGCGCCTCGAGGTCTAAGTCCTGTGCGGTTACCTTCAGGGGCTGAAGTGAAGGGATATATGCCCTTGTCCTTCAACATTTCTGCAAGCTCCGTTGTGAATAACATATTGACCGTGTTCGAGTGACAATATGCAATCATAGGATGGTACCCTCCCTGTGTATCAAGTTCGGGCATATCCATTTGGGATGCTATGGCTGTGTTTGGTTGCTCTTCATAAGGGATCGGTACTCCCTTAAAGATATGATCGCTAAACCGCAAGTGGGTGAGGACATGTGCAGCGCTCGTAATATTGACAGTCCGTGCACCACTTTGAGGGCTCTGAATGCCAGAGATCAGAAGCTTGTTTATGATCACGTTTGTGAAGAACAAACGTAATTTGTTGCAAACTGTATGTCTTCCCCATCTTTCGACAAAGTCCTCTCTGATACGGCCATGACTCCGGCATTGTTTATTAGTACATCGACTGCTTTCGTTATATTTTCCAGCTCTGTGGCGGCTTGTCGTACACTCTTTTGTGAAGATAGGTCGAGGGAAAGGACTCGTTTCTTCACTGAGAGGAAGTCTACCCCTAGCTGCTTTGATACTGCCTCGGCTTTGCTGGTGGACCGGGCGATCAGAACCAGCAGTGATGGGCCCTTGGATGCTATAGCTCGAGCCATAGCTTCGCCAAGGCCATTTGGACTGACTCCGGTAATGATCACTGCACGCAGTTACTCTCCTAAATTGCGAGGAGTAAAGGGCATAGTGAGACCTGATTTGCCTCAGGTGTTCTCAGCGAAAGCGTCAACAACCTGCTCAGACGTGGTCTCCTTGCCAAATTCTGAATGGGAAGCCATAGATGGTGAAGATCGTGAATATATTGGACATTTTTGTGGGGAAGTCCGAGGTGGTGTCAAGGATGCTACAGAAAGTACAGAAGGCTTGGGTTTTCGCCTTTGGAATTTCGATCTGAACCAATGCACGTTAAGGCAAGCAAAATATCGCAGCTTGAACCCGAAGCGTCATGGCCTGGAGTGATTAAATATGCTCTAATCCAAGAAGCGGGAAAGGGGAAAGGAAGGGAGAATGCTCCAGCCTCCAATCGAACCTATCTTGGTTCGGCGTTAGTATTTGTCCGAGTCCACCGTCCCAGTTGCTATATGACACTGACGTGGATATAGAGAGATTCGCCCATATCATGAACTGCCTGTAGACGCGATGCACGAAGGAATCCCATACTCCAATAAAGCTGGGGCCTGTCGCCTCTGCCTCATTGCCAAGTTCTGTACTAACCTCCTCCGATACATTTCACCTCTCAACCAGTCCAGGGAACCAAAGTCATCTTCCAGCACTAAAGTCTCGCATCAGAATGAGCTCTTTGTATTTGGCACCTCATCATCATAGCGGGCTACCACATGGGACAATCGCGGCGCTGTCCGTGTTGGTATCCAGCTTGTCTGGCGACCCCTTCGCAGGTGGAATCGTATTTGTATGCCTTCAGAGGCAGTATCGTACGGGCAGAGGTGATTATTATGCCACATCTCAGCCATGAAACCAACCGGGACGATCCCTGAGACCCCTGAACCATGGCAGATGGTCGAAGATCGCACGTTGTAGTAACTGGCATCATCCCATTGTCATCGGCATTGGGGTTAGATTCCCGTTCTTATCGTATCGTGCCTCTGCAAAAACGGGTCAGCTCAAGTCGTCTATCCATGAAAAACTGAATTCATATGGTAGACGTACTGAAAAATGTATAAGACAAAGTGATCGTATCTATTTTCGTCATCGTAGGATCGTTGACGAAGTCCGGATCGATGAAAAAGAAAACCGGCATATCGACAGTCTCCCCAGCGTTGAGCCTTTGCTCTTCGAAGCAAAAGCATTGAATCTTGCTGAAATATGGCGCCACTTGTGCTGGAGTTACACTATAGGTAGCAACCCCAATAATGTCCTCAGTACTCTTGTTCGTCGCGGTATAAAACGCGAGCGCTGTCTCCCCAGGCAGGACTCGGACCTCTCGCTGTTGCGGAGTGAACTTCCAAGGCATTATGTCCGATACTGATCCATTAAAAGTTATGCGTAGACGACGGGAGTCGGTCACGGGCGTAAGTCGAGTGGCTGGGTCTTCGGCATTTGAATGAATGGAAGCCTTGATAGGTTGGCCACCCCAACCAGTCTGTTGGCAGATCTAGCCCTACGTGTCAGTGAGCCCTCATGTAGACAAAATCCAGACGGAACGTACCATTTTGTACATGGGTACCGAGCCATATGACAGTGCCACCGTCCCAAGAATGACGCTCAGAGTGTAGTAGCTTTGAAACTTAGCTGCTGGCGTTGACAACTTTCGAGAAAGACGTACAGAGTGGAACTGTTCTTGTGGGAGAACGGGGCTCGTAATTGTTCCATAGTGGGAGCAAGATGCTGCCTGGTCTTTCGCGTGCTCGATATTTGCCTCCTCTGTGCAGAAGCCGCGTGGGGTCTAAATATCGCAGGGCGAAGACATTGTGAGCATGGAAGGTTCACCGTTGTAGCTCGCTTTTCACATAAGTGAAACTTGGAGAGGCATAGCTTAGTAGTCATGTTGCAAGACCGATCACGTCCTAGAAGGATCAGAGAATCGATATTGAATATGCATATTTAGGAACCACTTTAACCATAAACGCGCTAGACGCGTGAGGCGCGTCAGCTTCAAGAATTGTCTATCCACTCTTCCTAAAAACAATTGCACCAGTACAATAAGTTTCTGTGCTACAAAACATGGCATTACTGGTAGACAAATACCGCCCACGCTCTCTGGAGGCATTGACATACCACGAAGACCTCTCCGAGCGGCTCAAAAGTCTCGTAAGGATCCCCATTTCGCTTTGTAGAACGTTACTGATGTCTGATGCTAGGCAAAAAGCGGAGATTTTCCCCATCTTCTTGTCTACGGGCCGTCAGGCGCGGGAAAAAAGACCAGGATTGTTGCAACGTTACGTGAGCTTTATGGGCCTGGTGTGGAAAAGATCAAAATCGACTCTCGTGTATTCCAAACCACCTCAAACCGCAAGCTCGAATTCAATATCGTGGCTTCTGTGTACCACCTTGAGATAACGCCTTCAGACGTCGGCAATTTCGACAGGGTAGTCATCCAAGATCTTCTCAAGGAAGTGGCACAAACCCAACAAGTCGACCAGTCTGCTAGACAACGCTTCAAGGTCGTTGTCATCAATGAAGCGGACCACCTTACCCGAGACGCACAGGCAGCGTTGAGAAGGACTATGGAGAAATACAGCCCCAACATGAGGCTGATATTGTTGGCAAACAGTACAGCAAATATCATTGCGCCAATTCGATCGCGAACGCTGTTGGTGAGGGTAGCGGCGCCGACGGAGAGCGATATTTGCAAAGTTCTGGAGAAAGTTGGAGCGCAGGAAGGATGGGCCGAGGCGGAAGGCTTGAACAGGAGGATTGCAAAGGACAGTGCGAGAAACCTGAGGAGGGCATTGCTGATGTTTGAGGCTGTCCACGCACAGAAGTGGGGAGCAGTGCTACTGTATCTCATTCGGAATGCTAACGGCACATCACAGCGAGAAAGTCACGGATAAGACGCCTGTCCCGCCGCCGGATTGGGAGGCTCTCGTCGCTCAGATTGCCGATGAGATAATGGCAGAACATACGCCTGCGAGGCTTCTGCAAGTCCGTGCGAAGTTTTACGATTTGCTCAGTCATTGTATACCACCTACAACGGTATTGAAGGTATATTGCCTACAGCTACATTCAATGGACCTAGATATGCTAATCCGGTACAGACATTGACCTTCAAACTCATACCAAAGATTGACGACGCACTGAAAGCAGACGTGATCAAGTGGTCGGCTTTCTATGAGCATCGCATTCGAATGGGCAGCGTAAGTGACATCCCGGTCATGGATGTGAAGTACTGATGAAGGACTCTAGAAACACATCTTCCATCTCGAGGCTTTTGTTGCAAAATTCATGAGAATACTAGAAAGGCATGTGCCGCAAAGCGCAATTCGATATCTCAGCTAATTCGATTGTAGCTACTTAATGGGGATGGATTTCTAGGAGAATTCCCAACAACGAGTGGAGTGAAGCAGCGTTACTTGCATATTCTTGTCTGCAGTGTTCTAGAACGGCTAGCTCAGGGCAATTCACTCCACAGTGCGTCATTTTAAGCTTCCGAGATTGAAAGCTCGATACGAGTAATCAACAGAACAAACTCATAAGATCTTTCTTACAGTTTCCCTCCGTCTACAATCCCTCTGTAATACATTCAAGATCACCAAACCACAACCATGTCTTCAGATCTTATGGATACCGAAGCAGGCGGTGAAGGCTCGCAGTACGCAGTTCCCAATGTTGACGTTTAGCAGCAGCTGACCATTCAATCAGATACGAGTCAATCCAGACAGTCACAGAACCCCACTCTAAGCAAGGCGGACAAATGGGTGGTCAGTTCAATCTCAACCTTGGTAGCAACTAGTCAATACTCAAAAGACAACTTTAGAAGAGGAAACTCAGCCAGATGCCGTGACTTCTCAACAAGAACAGCAGAAGGCTGAGAGAGGAGCGAAAACAGCAGAGAACGTGAGGTATGGACAGACAATCTCAGAAGGGGGTATGGGAGGCAAGACTACAGAAGCTGGAGGAAGTGCGAACCAAGGTAGGAGTGGACTACACGTAATATGCTATGATGCTAGGAAAACTGCTGAAGCGTGTCTGCAGACGGATTTGGACCATTGGGCGCACAGGGAGGAACAGAAGATGCTGAAGAGTCCAGGCGGGACCAGGGCTACGGGCCAGGATCTGGCATTGGAGCATAGGGTCTTTCGTGATCTCGAAGAACCTGAGGTAGTAATGGGCATCTTACTTGTGCTGGCTCTAGGCAGCAGTTGGAGTTGCAGCGGGCAAACTCCCTGGCGTTGAAGCTGAGATTCTCCCTGCCTTTATGTCCGCTGGTAATCTCCTCCAGGGTCTCTTCATCTCGTCCAGCGTGACCCCAGCTTCCACTTTCGTAAGGCCCATGACAGGTGGATCCCCCTTCTTCACGAATTCATACAGTCCTGGCCCCATTATTAGCATAAAGATCTTCAATTGCAAATGGCAAAGAAGAGACTTATGATCATACCGGGCAACTTATTCCCTGCTAACCTCATTGCATCTCTGACCACCTGCTCATGGAGCTCTCCACTGATCTCGAACACGATCTGTGATACTGCGACCCTTGCAGCCCAGTAGTCAAAACTGCCTTTTCCCTTGCCCATCCTGCTCTCATTTCCACTACTATATACTCCGGTATTCGCGGCTACTCTGGTATATAAACGATATCTCTCCCCTCGTAATCTTTTCTTAATGGCTTCTGCACCAATAGCCAATTGTTGAGATGATATTCTTCGGTCATGATCTCGCATGCGCAAGCCGTAGTCGCCCCATACCACTGTTGTGCCTCGGGTTGAGCCGCCAGTGGGGACCCGGCAGCGCCCCTTTCGGTTTTTCTGAGTATGGCCACGTTTCGGAATCAGCCAACTCTGGGCATGTGAAGTAGCTGAGAAGGTGCGAATGGCCGAAGGAGTAATCGAGCAAGATGTGGAGAAACCTGCGAGATATGAGTATCAGAAGTGGGAGGCGGAAGTGGATGCAAAAATCAAATCTTACGGAAAGGAAACCGAGCTGATGAAGGAACTGTTCGCAGCGAGCAAGGCGACAGTACAGGCAGTGATCGAGGCTTCATTGTGAATATCAATCGTTTGATTGGGGAGAGAGCGAACTTTCTCTCGACAAGGCAGCAAATTAGCGTGTGCACAAAGCTCCGCAATTCTTGGCGCTGATCTATGATAAACGCGAAGCGCGTCTCCAATACTGCACAATTCAGGCGTCATCACCTTGATGACCGTCTACCTTTTTCTCTGATCTATTAAGTAGCCAGACAATATGCCCCCAGATATCAGAAGCTTCTTTGGTAGCAAGGGAGGCCAAGGTACTGCTTCCAGTCAAGAACAATCAGCATCCAAAGAAGCAGCTGTAAGTAAAGACACCCTTGCCAGAACTCCACACTTCTGTTCACTCCGGCAAGGGTTGTTACACGGTAGCTACGATTGATTGTTTTCTCATCTCGTTACTTAGTCCTCTGCCTTCCGGCCCTCTTTGTGCTCTTTCTCGCTTGAATAAGCCGTGGAGTGCATGCTAACCTGGCTTTCGCTCGCCCATAGATGAAGGACAAGAAACCGAAAAGAAGAGGTACGCTTCACAAGACTGCCAATGGCCCTGCTGTGGAAGCTCAAGTCAGCTAGGAAAACGAAAGGTCCTCAGTGACAGCGATGATGATGTCCAGGTCCAGCCGGCCAAGAAATCAACACCCAAGAAGGTCCCCCCGCAGAAACAAGTGTGAGCTTGCAACACAAGCTTCATGGAAGTTTCAATTGCTAACGAACACTCTAGCCAGAGGATATCTCCCGTCGGAGAAGTCACCACAACGTCAGATTACTTCGCTTCTAGCGGCAAATCCAAGCCGACTCGCTCTACGCCAGCGAATTCGAAGGCCCATTCCGAGAAGAAGGTCCCCCAGGATGTGAAAGCGCCGTCCACAAAGTCTACGCCAAAAGCCAAAGCTACACCAGAACCCGCATCAGGCACAAATGGCAAGACGCCATCTCGAAAGAAGAGTAAGCCAGACTACGTGGAGGTACATGAGGACGAGGAAAGTGATTTCGATCCCAAGATCATCAAGGATGATGCCGACTCCGGAGAGGACATCTTTGTAGCAGACTACAAGACTGGAAGAAAAGACGCAGAAGATGCCTACGAAAGCGAAGACGACGAGGATCAAGTCGTTCAATTATCCCGGAGAACTCAAAAAGGAGGCAATGGAGCGTCATCCAAAAGGCATGCTAGTGCTAGCGAGGAGGACAGTGACATCCAAATGAAGGATATTCCAGAATACAGAGATTCCAAAAGCAGCACTAAGGCTTCGAGAGGGCGAAAACGAAAGTCTGTTGAATTGGAAGATGATGAGGAGGAAGACTTCGCGCAAGTCTCGAAGAAGGCAAAGGGCTCAAGAGCGAAGTCTCCAGCCAAGAAGGCTAAACCAAAAAAGAGCCGCAAGAAGGAAGAAGAGCCTGAAGTAAGAACAGCCGTTGATGATATTCTCGACAGTATCAAAACAGTCAGAGCGCCGACGCCGCCGCCTCGCGAAGAGGGGAAGAAGTTCAACTTTGCCGCTTTCAATGCAAACCGAACCGAGGCACCACTCTCTGGAGCGTCTGTCGAGCTCCCTGTTGGCCGCGAAAATTGTTTGGCTGGACTGACCTTCGTTTTCACGGGCGTACTCAACTCGTTAGAACGCAACCAGGGTCAGGACCTCGTGAAGCGCCACGGAGGGAAGGTCACCAGTGCCCCAAGTAAGAAAACAAGCTTTGTCGTGCTGGGTGCGGATGCAGGGCCCAAAAAGCTTGAGACCATTCAACACTTTGACCTCAAAACCATCAATGAGGAAGGATTATTTGAGCTGATCCGTAAGTTACCCGCTCACGGCGGTGATGGAAAGGCTGGGCAGCAGTATGAGGCAAAGAAAAAGCAAGAGGAGGCCAAAGTTGAGAAAGCTGCCGCAGATATGGTTAAGCAGGAGCGTGCAGAGGCCAAGAAAGCTGCAAGCATTACTGCTAGTCCTCAACCTGCTTTAAAAGGCGACATCGACGGCTCCACAATTTCTGATAGTCGCTTGTGGACTGTCAAGTACGCGCCCACAGCTATAAGCATGATCTGTGGCAACAAGGGTCAAGTCGAAAAATTGGAGGCTTGGTTGAGGGCATGGCCTATCAACGTGAAGAGCAAATTCAAGAAGCCAGGCAAGGAAGGGTGGGGTACGTTCCGTGCCATGATCCTCCATGGGCCCCCTGGAATAGGCAAGACTACAGCTGCTCATCTCGCCGCAAAACTTGAGGGATACGACATCCGCGAAAGCAACGCTAGCGACACTAGGAGCAAAAAGCTGGTCGAGACCGGACTGAAAGGTGTACTTGACACAACATCCTTACTTGGCTATTTTGCGGGAGACGGAAAGAAGGTGGATGCAGAAAAAAAAAGACTCGTTCTGATCATGGATGAAGTCGATGGCATGTCCGCTGGTGATCGAGGTGGCGTTGGAGCTCTGGCAGCGGTTTGCAGAAAGACCAACATCCCCATCATCTTGATTTGCAATGATCGAAGATTACCCAAGATGAAACCATTCGATCACGTGGCCTTCGACCTGCCTTTCCGGAGACCAACCGTTGATCAGATTCGTCAGAGGATCATGACGATCTGCTTTCGAGAGAAACTGAAGGTTCCTCCGAATGTTATCAACTCATTAATTGAAGGAAGCCACGCCGATATCCGCCAAGTCATCAACATGCTGTCGACGGCCAAGCTGGACCAAGATGCAATGGACTTTGACTCTGGCAAAGAAATGTCCAAGTCATGGGAGAAGCACGTCATCCTCAAGCCTTGGGATATTGTTAGCAAGATTCTCGGAGGAGGTCTCTTCGCTCCGAATAGCACAACGACACTGAACGAAAAGATAGAGCTCTATTTCAATGACCACGAATTCAGCTCCCTGATGTTGCAGGAAAACTATCTCGGAACCAATCCAATGTTGTCGAACACATACAGTGGTAGGGAAAAGAATCTCAAGATGCTCGAGCTCACGGACAGCGCGGCGGAGAGTATCAGCGATGGGGACCTTGTCGACCGTATGATCCACGGATCTCAGCAGCAATGGGCTCTCATGCCAACTCATGCTGTATTCAGTTTTGTGCGGCCTGCTAGTTTCGTCGCTGGTAGTCAAGCTGGAAGCCAAACTAGATTCACCTCCTGGCTAGGTAATAACAGCAAGCTAGGTACGAGAATTGGCATTCGCTGTCACGCTCCACGTCATGCTAACAACGTTCGTCAGGCAAGCTTATGCGTTTCGTCAAAGAGATACAAGGTCACATGCGCCTTCGAGCTTCTGGTGACCGGCACGAGATCCGCCAGCAGTACCTTCCCCTGCTATGGTACCGGCTTGTGAAGGAGCTTCAGTTACAAGGCAAGGATGCATTGGGGAGCATCATCGATCTTATGGACAGCTACTACCTTACGAAAGACGACTGGGATGCAATACTGGAGCTTGGTATTGGTCCGATGGACATGGAACAGATCAAGATCGATACACAGGTCAAAGCCTCGTTCACGAGGACATACAATCAGGTGTCACATCCTCTTCCCTACATGAAGGCAAGCTCAATCGTTGCCCCAAAGAAGAAGAGCAAGGAGAGGCCAGACATTGAAGAGGCTCTGGATGAGTCGGATTCGGGGGTGAGCTCTGGCGGCGAGGAGGCAATTCTCGATGATGATGAACCCCTGGATCTGAAGAAGGACAAGTACGTTGCAGCTCCGAAGAAAAAGAAGCAAGCAGCGGCCAAAGGAAAGAGGGGGGCTGCGAAGGGAAAAGGGAAAGGAAAGGCCAATGAGGAGAGTGACGAGGAGCTGGACGATGAGGATGATGGGAGCGAGGACGTCAAGCCTCGAAAGGGTGCCGGTACAAAGGGGAAGGCGAGGTGGAAGAAGTAGGAATGCGGATGCTGTGCTGGAATTGCTGCACGGAGGTATGGGTGAAGCAGCTACTTCTGGCTCTATTGATGAGCTGAACTTTGTAATCTCTCGCTGCCCGCGCGTACATGTTTGCATATGCTAAGAGCATCCAATAGTAGCTGCAGGCGATGGCTATCCACGTCCCCCTTAGAGCCAAGGCGACATCTGAAGTGTTTGTTTTGTGGTAGCCTTGTTCTGTGCGTTGGAGCCTTGTTCAAGAGTCAGTCGATTGCGCAAGCCGTGGCGCTATTGCCGCTTGAGGCAATCCTTGATGACCTTCGCCCATGGTGGCCCTGAGTTGCAGGACGGATTTTTGGATTTGCTCTCACGACATGCGGCGCGGCATCAGCGATGGCGTTTGAAGAGCTCCATGAATCGCGGTGGGCCGAAAGTTCCCACGGAAAGGATTTTTCGAGTAGCTACTTATTGCTGCAGCAGTACAGACGGATCCTTTTCGCAATCAGACCCTTAGAGCGAGGCTGTGCCCTTCCCCCTCCCCCTCTACCGGGTCCTCCATTCTATTCGTTTGCAGAAGATGTTCGCTGTTAATTACGAGTACATTAATCAGGAAGACAGAGTCACAAATGCTTCGATTTACCTCTGTCGTGAACCAACACCACTGTGCCTTTTTTGCAAACATCTAGCATACGGGTGATGTTGAATAATAATCATGGATGACAGGGGAGCAGAGTTGAATTGCGAAGGCGCTAATGGAGGGGACGAGGGGTGGCTGGTGGTGGTGGAGAGGCCGACGAAGCTTTCAGAGTCTGAAACATGACGCTTTGATGCGAATGATTGCTTGCTAGGGTTTGAGACTGAACATTTGGGGGTCGCTCGGGGGGTGGTGCTTTAGGGTTCCTTAGGGTTCCTTAGGGTTCGAAGTCAGGGAAGTTAGGGTTCGAAGGCTCGTAATAAATGGTCCACTCACAGTCATCCCTTTCCCTTTTCTCGCCTACTAAGTATCTTACCTACCTTAAGAGCAATAGACTACTCAAGCCGGTTTTTAATATTGGGCCACTTATCCTTTCTAGGAAAAGCGATTCTTTTTGCATCCCAAACAACTTGTCAACGAACAATCATATGAAAACAAAAGTGATATGAAAGATACTCTGCTAGCTACCCTCTATATCTTTATAATAGAAAATGTCTTCGAATTGATTCTTGTTATCGAGTTGTGAAGTGGGAGTTTATAGGCGACTTTACTTAATTAAGTTAGGTGGCCCAATATCAAAAACCGGCTTGAGTACCTTACCGTGCTTACGTATTTAATTTAATTTAATTCCCGTGGAAAAAAGAAAAATCCTAAAACACCAGCCATGCCGCCCACGCCGCCCATGCCTCGTACCTGCAGATGATGACAACTTTACCGTACAATTAACTAGCTATAGCATTCGCAGATCTCGCAATGGCAGGCTGGCAGCATGTAATGGTCCATCCGGGGCTGTGGGGTCAAGGGTTCCTCCTCACCTTGACTGGCCTACCTTCCCCCTTCCCCCTTCCCCCTAGCATTCTTCCAACTGTTGGACGCCACTCCATATTCACTCAGATCTCCGACTTGCCCGAGATACCGTACGTCGTCAAGAATCTACCCCCATCACTTCCACAACACTTTACCCCCAATATACCAAGAGTCTCGGACGTCGCGCGCTGCCTATGCTCTCGCCAACGGGACTGCAAGCGGTGATACGGGCGTCGCGCTGGGCTACTTGATTACTTCACCGCTTTGACTTCTGTCAGAGTCCGCAAGAATGGGCTTCGACCGCTGGAGCGGCTCGTCCGCCACGAGCCCAGAGATGAAGACGCATTTTGAGCCCATGGAGTACGATGAAAGGAACCACAGCATTGCTCCATCCACCAGGAAACTTTCGCTCAACGCAGCCGATCTCATGCGCCGCAACGCATCTGCCAAGTTGGCCAACCCCTTGGCTGGCATAAGTCATGCAAAACTGGAGGAGATGGGAGCAACATACGCAAGGAAGCATCACATTGGGGACGAAGAGGATGTCAGGGCTTTCCGAAAAGGCGCCGTCCTTGCCCAAGACCCTCGCAGATTCGCCCAGGTTCAGGGTCTGACAGGAATGGAGTTGGATGTACTTCAAAAGGAGTTCGACAATCGCTGGGCCCAGCCTAAGCTCATGTATATTGTCATCATACTTTGCTCCACCTGCGCCGCCGTTCAAGGAATGGGTCAGTGACATCTATCTGCCATCATGCACCAACCTTCCAGCTGACCTGTGAGCAGACGAGGCCGTTGTCAACGGGGGCCAGCTATTCTACAGGTATCAATTTGGTATTGACGGCAAAGATCCGCGCTCAACATGGCTTACCGGCTTATTGAACTCTGCTCCTTACCTTTGTTGTGCCTTCATTGGATGTTGGCTAACCACGCCTTTTAACAACCTCTTTGGTAGAAGGGGTACTATATTCCTTACTTGCGTCTTCTCAGCTCTGGCTTGCTTCTGGCAAGGGTTCGTTAACACCTGGTGGCACATGTTTATTGCGAGATTCTTCCTCGGATTCGGTATTGGCCCTAAATCCGCAACGGTTCCTATATACGCTGCGGAGACATCTCCGCCGGCGATTCGAGGTGCACTGGTTATGCAATGGCAGATGTGGACTGCTTTCGGTATCTTCTTTGGATACGTCGCAGATCTCGCATTCTACAGCGTGCCTGACCCACCAGGCATTGTCGGGCTGAAATGGCGTCTGATGATGGGATCAGCCATGCTGCCCGCGCTCATCGTCATCGCTTTCGTCTTCATGTGCCCCGAATCTCCACGTTGGTACATGAGCAAGAACCGGCATTACAAAGCATACCAGTCTATGGCCAGGTTGCGATACCAGAAAGTGCAGGCGGCCCGAGACGTCTACTATATGCACACTCTGTTAGAGGCTGAAAGGGAGATCGAAGCAAACCAGGGAAATCCACTGCTCGAATTGGTCAAGGTTCCTCGGAACCGTCGAGCGATGATAGCTTCTGAGATCGTGATGTTTATGCAGCAGGTCTGTCACGGCCGGAAATCTTTCTGGTGAAATATCTCACTAATATTGACATAGTTCTGCGGGGTCAACATCATTGCTTACTACTCATCCCAAATCTTCTTAGATGGTGGGTTCTCGCCCATATCAGCCCTGACTTCGTCTCTCGGATTTGGACTAGTGAACTGGCTTTTCGCCATTCCCGCGGTCTACACTATTGATACATTCGGACGGCGGAATCTTCTTCTGACAACTTTTCCGCTCATGTCAATCTGCATGTTCTTCACAGGTTTCAGCTTCTGGATACCAAAGGATACCATGCATACCACCAGAGTCGCCTGTATATCTCTTGGTATTTATCTCTTCGGCGTTGTCTATTCACCAGGAGAAGGTCCAGTGCCATTCACCTACTCAGCAGAAGCCTACCCACTCTATATTCGGACGGTTGGTATGTCCCTTGCGACTTCTACGACTTGGTTCTTCAACTTCGTTCTCTCAATCACCTGGCCCAGTCTCCAAGCTGCTTTTACCACACAAGGCGCCTTCTCATGGTACGCCGGCTGGAACATCGTGGGGTTCTTTCTGGTGCTCCTGTTTATGCCCGAAACAAAAAGCAAGACGCTCGAGGAATTGGACCAGGTGTTTTCAGTGCCGACACATATCCATGCTGCATATGGCTTGAGACAGATTCCGTACTTCTTCCGGCGGTATCTGCTACGGCAACACGTTGAGCCGGAACGTTTATATGACAATGAGGATACGGCAGAAGACAAGGACTTGGGCTATGACGATCCTGAGAGTCACACTTAGTAGGACGTCAAGCACCGGTACGGGATGAATTGTACTGAGTACTTTGGTTAAATGGAGTCAAAGGAAAGCTGGTGGACGGTGTCTGGCGTTTACCATGTCATGTTATATACCACTGTGATTACCTCTGCAAAGCTGAAGCTTTAGCAACCCTTACACTATATCCGCTGCATTGAACAAGGCATCATTCTGTATATCGGAAATATCCTGATGAAAATGGTTCTATCAAAGCGCAAGGGTGAGAGGGTGAGTTACCCCGAGTCTCCGCGCCTGACAACTCTTCGAAGTCTGAGGCCCACGAACAATTTTTCTGAATTTCCTGCATTGACAAAATTGTCGGCCACTGGTGGTGGAATGCCCGAACAGTGACAGATTCTCAGGCATGAAACCCAAACACCCGAACACATGCGAATATTATTGAAATAGGAGATTCAAATGGTATTGAGCAAGGGACGCACGAGCCAGGAGACGATAACTCACGTCGCGTTGTTCCTTCCTGCGATGTCCATCTTATCCATACATGCCGCATCTGTTTCACATATGCAATTGTTCTCTTGGGTGAGGACCCACAACAGGATTGAAAACTTTCGCTCAGGGTGCTCGGAGTCCAAGCATGACTTTCGGATCCATGCGATTAAAGCCAGCAGCATTCCGTACTTTTCTAAAGCCATCATGGATGCCACGACAGTCCTTGGTACTTCTGTTGGAGTACCTCATGCAAAGCTCCCCCATCCTCACAAAGATTCGACAGCGCCAGTGCCTTCTCAGCCCAAAGCCTGCACGGCACATCTTGCGAAGTACAATAAAAGTCAATTGCGCGATTGAAGGTCGTTGTTGCAAGCCATTCGAGTTCTTCTGGTGGATACGGCTTTGACTGCTGTAAGGGTGACGAAATCACCTGTATCAGGTCATCCGAACTACATATCGAAGGAGTTGAGTCTCTCACCTTTCTCGCGTCTTCTGCGATAGTCACAGCTTGGTCGAGAAGCTGCACCGCTATGTCTCTTTCCGAAAGAGCCAATGAGAAGAGACATCTGATCCACCTAGAAAGCTTGTCGGTGCCGCCGTTATTGTGCTGCCAGGTGATGTTGATAATTTGCTGCAAAGGCATGAGTATCTACTATCTAACGATACACGTCGAAAATGAAACATTTACCTGTATCGTCGTGATCATTACTGTTCTAAGTGTCAGGTCAATTGGGCTTGGACAGTTACTAGGGAGGCTTGCCGTCACCTGGTGCTTCAGAAGAAAGCGTGATGTCTGCAAATAAACCATATATTTTTGGATCTTCAAAATCTTGGGATTCCTAAACCCGCCTTTTAGCTGTGTGTCCAAACATTGCCATCGAATTTACACACCTTGATGATCTGATCCAAGCTATCCCAGGCTTTGAGCCGTGCGGCTGCCTCGTAATCAAAAGCCAAAAGACTTGCATACTTGTGCTGCAGGTCGCCTTTAGCGCCTCCCTCCAACCTGTTGACTTGGCCTTTTACGTCGACTCGAAAGTCATCGATCACCTTGCGCACGTTGGTATAGTGTTGGAGCTGACAACAGTAAGCTTAGAAAGGTACTAAGGCTCTAGTTTGATTACCTGGTGTTCTACATTATCTTCGCATCGGGCAAGCACAATCAATAATGAGCCGCACAAGAAATCGCAGAAAAGTCTTCGGAGAGACAAGTCTGCTGTCACGTTGAGGTCGATGGCAGCGGGATAGAGCCCAATGAACTGCACGATCATCAGATTTGAAACATCCGACACTTGTTTGACTTACTCTAAGGCAAGATTGCACGAGCCGCAATGTTTGTTCTGGACTCCAGCTCGTGCAATATTTGAGAGCCAGATTATAAGTGTTTCTTGAGAACCAATCAAGCTCTGCCAGCGAGAAGAGGTCGTTCGCGGCACTGCGCCTTGAGGTTCTTGCCTGGGCAGCAGCTTGGAAGCGTCAGTATGTGGCACGCTACAAACATCAGACGTACTAACCACCCTCGAAGAGCTTGCATATCTCATCAATGCAATCTGTGACGTGTGAGGGAGGATTTTCGAGTTCACGAATGAGAAGACGAGCGGTGCATCTGGAATCATTAGTAAATGAAATTAGGCTGAGAGTCATTGCTTGCATACCGAAGCAAAGCTGGAAGGTGAATTTCATTGGGAGCGTTATAACTGTATTTCTCAAGGACCCGCTGCAATGAGTTTATTATCTGAAGGTGGTCCCCCGTCTGTTGCGCTTCCAGGACACATGCATAGAGCAAAGTAGCGTCCTTAGTTGAGGCAGTGCAGATGGTGTCAATGCATTCGGCAGCTTGTCATCGTCAACTCCACTCATCCCTAGAAAAGACGGGAACATAGTCACCTAGTCCTGAGTCACGACATCTCAGTGCGACCTTGTAGAGCACGTACATGGTTGACGGATCCTTCTTGTTGGGGGGCGACATTTGCGAATACACCTCTCGGGCTTTCGCTTGGTCTGACATGCTCAGAGCGCAGAGTATTAGCTTCCTGAGAGCAAGTTAGGTATCATTTCATCACAAGGGCATTTAGACGTATCACCTTTGCAACTTCCCAACGTTCACTTCGCCGGAACTGCGAAATACTGGATGCAATGAAAGCCGGCACCAAGCTTCGGCAGTGTCATATGTCTCGTGATTGTAGCTCGCTTCTATGCGCTTCCACAAAAGCTACGGGCGTCAGCACAAGGTCTGCAAGTTTTCTATCGCACGTACTATCTGCGCTGCGTGCGTCGCATGGGGGCTTAGAGCTTTGGCAGCGCTATGAGCCAGGGCGTCAAAGACCTCGCTTAGTGAAGTCAGAACATCCAAGATATCTGTAGAGTTCGTGCAATTCCAGATGATGGTGATCAATACTTTCTCAATCCATTTCGTTTCTTCTGCACCTAGCAGTCTTTCGGAGAGGAGCGTGACGAGCACGTGGTGCGCCATGAGCGGACTTCGAGAACTAAGCTTATGCACATGATGTAATATGGTCTTGACGTTCATGTCGGTAAGATAGACCGTGCAGATAATCTTGTGGAGGATGTCGCAGTAATCTTGGGCGGAGTGGGAGGCATCAGTCGCAAAAACTTCGAGCTTCAGAAGTAGGACGACTAGTCTATCCCCACAGTCCAGCTCCAGTTCGCGAACAATGTTCCATGCTTTGTCTTGGCTGCCGTCACTCTCTAGGTTCAGAAGAGCTCTGGCCATGCTGTGCATGATGCTGATCCGAAGCTCTCCAGCATCGCTACTCAGCAAGTCCTGACTTTGGTTCAAGAGTATGTTGTGGGCCCTTTCCAGCCAATGTACGGCCTCAGCCCATTGGTTATTCTTGCTTTGACTGCCACCGATTTCGAAGAAGAGATCGGCAAGCTCCTCCGCCGAAGAGAGTTCAAGATTGTTCGTATCAAGATTCACTTTGTTCAGCATGAGCTTTGCAATATCGAGACGACCTTGCCGCCACGCCTATAAGTTCGTCAGTGAGGCTAATCCCTCCACTGAATTTTCCATAGGTAGCCGGAAAGACTCACCAGAGCAACCCTCAAACTCAAGTATTCATTTAAAAGGCGACTGACAAGCCGGCCGTGCTCCTGCGAAGTTACATCTCGGCAGCACTTCAGCCTCTCCTCGTAGAAAGCAGCTCGTTCGACAGCTATTTCAGCAAGACTCAACTGGCGGTTGTCTGCTCTAACATGAGCTGAGTGGTGAGACGATGGCTTGAATCGATGATGGCTTACCCAGACAGTACCTTGACGTCCTCAAGGAAGACTTTAGTACTCGAAGATCATCTGGCGCCATGTCAGCCCCCACTCGTAGTCTATCTTGACAAAATTGGATTGGTACTTGAAGCGGAACCTTGGGTGCATCGTTGAGCGCAGTCGAGAAGAAGAAAAGCGAAGACGCGAACTGTCTTGGTCAGCATGAGCAAAAACGCCTTGAAAGTGAATCCTTGCCCAAGCAGAGCAGTTCCCCATCTTCGACTGTGTTCTTGAGCTTCGAGGATAAGTTCCAGAGTCTAGTCCCGCGCTTGTCAAGATCAACCCGTCTACAGGCTGCTAAAGTATTACGGATCGAGACTGCGGTTTCAATTTTATTGTAAATATCCGCTGGTAGAGGCTTTTCAGGACTGGCAGAAGTAAGATATTCTTCGAGGAGCTTCGCAAACACTATACGTGCAAGTCGCTGATTAGCTAGTCCTCGAGCCAGTAAGTCCCGCAATAGAACTGACCGAGGATCGAGTGCAACGCATTCTCCTTTTCAGCTCGTTTGATAACTGGTGCCATCGTATTCGCTTTGCTGGAATAGCATGAAATCACGGGAGTCAAGCAGGCTTAGAGTTCGATGCGGCAAATGCTACCAAAACGGCTTGGCGTTCTTATTCGAGTATCAAATGCAAGATCAGTATCAAACACCAAACGTCCACTGACCAAAACCCGGACAGAGAATGTGCTCCAAAGGTATACGCGGCCAGTCTTAGCAATTTCAACCTCGCGTTTCGAAAGACAGGCCTATTGACTCCCACGCTATGCAAAAACAAGAACCAAATCATATCCATCATACAGTTTCGAGTGCGTTTCCTCATCAGGAGATTCAACAGGCTTATGTCTTCCTCGGGCCCTGAGGGAGAAAGTTGCCCACTATCAGAGAAGGACTATCTCAGCCATCAGCACTTTTCCGCACAGAATAATGCGGCAACCTTACATATTATGATTGTCTCGGCGGATCGTGAAAGAGAAGCAGCACTTTATTTCGGGATCAGAGGCCTTAAGGTCTGGGTTCTTTAAGGAACAAGTTGTCAACATAGCTTTTTGCGAATTGTCGAAAGCGATGGCGAGAAATTTGTCCCAGTAGCTGACTAGGTCTTTCTCCACAATTATCTCATGAAGAGCTAGCTTGCCCTGAAAGACTTCGTCAGCCGGACCTGAAGTATTCATATGACGTAGCTACTTATACTTACATCCCTAAGCTTCTCGATCGGAACGTGTATAAGCTCCGCCATTTCCTTATTGCCTCGGAAAATCTCACCCGTTCGTCTCCAACAACAGGCGGGTATTGCCATACTTGCAAACACCCGGTCATATTCCATCAAGCTCCTTTCAAACCACATCTCTACGAACGTCAATTCCATATCCGTCAGAGACTGCATGCGCTCGCGAAATTTGGGTCTGAACTTGTCCAGTTGGCGCAGGATTCGCTGACGAGATGCTGGCTGCATATTCTGATCCATGTAGCGATGCAAGCGTGCATAGCCTTGAATGTAGTTGAAAGGCCTAAGCATGCCGGCATTGTACTTGGCCATGAAGACTTTGTTCATGCGTTCCTCAGGAGTATCATTACCAGAGGGATCGGCTACGGTCATGTAGTATTTCTCCTCCTCTTTGTCGGTGGGTTTGACACTTTTTGGGCGCGATATGCCAGTTTCTAGTCCTAGAGGGCCCTGGATTAGGCCAGAGGCCTGGGTCTGCTGTGAGTTCAACAAACTTTGACCGCTACCACCATTGAGACTGGCCGCTAGAGTATTGCTCAATGATGTGTCTGAACTGAGCGCTTGAATCTCGTCGTTCGGGAAGACGGTTGGATCATCAAGTAAGCTACTGCTTAGAAACTCGTTGAGAAGGTTATACTCGTTGGTGATGTCAGGTGCATTGAACATATAGGATGGGTGAAAGCTATGCATATCCGAAAACTGATTTTGATTTCCGAGACTCCAATCGCCGTAGCCAGGAACTTGTTCAGTCAGTGGGTATAGTCATAGGATGAGAGGACTTGGTATGCTTCTCACATTGCTGATTCTTGTCTCCGAAGACCTGGCCCTGGCCTTGAGAAATAGGATCTGACGACTGCGGCAAGAATTGCGGATTGTCTGCCTGACTATCCGGTGCTGCTGTCCTTGTGATTACATTCGCGCCGGAGTCGTGCAGCGCCTGGTGACCCAGTTGCTGCTGGTCAACAGAAGGACTTAGCATGTACGGCAGAGAATTTTCCTGCTTGACAGCAGCTCCGCTATTTGACGTGGTGTTGGCTTGATCATTCTTCATCCCCTTCCCAGAGTCTCGTTGTTCATCGTGACACAAATGGCCAATGCTCCGTTTCACGCATCTGGCACATGGTCGATCCTATAGCCCATCATTACTACCTGTCCTCAATGTAGTCCTGGGGCTCCTGGTAGGAGGCCTATCGAAGCATTATTCTTACCAGATCGCAGGTCATATGCTATGATCGCCATAGCAAAACGAAGATCAGTCTCATGTTCGGATTCTCGTTGGGGCGAATGCCATGTCATATAGCTGAGGGAAGGTCATGCTTGGCTTGGAGTGCTGAGGAGGATTATGGCTCACCGAGCGCCTACAATAGATGCATGCTTTTCGCATGCCATATTAGCATTTGGACTGATGGTGTATGGGGACGCCCTTTGATCATACCCACCGTGATTCACTTTGCGCCTCTTCTTCGGGCTCGTATGGTCCGCCTGTGGAGAGATTGTGCGCTGCGTCTTTGAACTTTCATCTTTTGACGCCATCGTAATGTCGATCGGTCTTCCATTACCCCGTTTCCCGGTAGGCCTAGAATTGCGCTGACAACAATGCAAAGGTTCGCCGTTGATGTTTGGCTGTCATTGGGGTGATTTGTAGCCAAAGGGATGGGGTATCGACGATTGTTCAAACCCAAAATAAGACCCAACACCAACTCTCGATTTCTTCAAACCATTCGGCCATGTCTTGCGAACTTGTAGCACTAAATTTCTCCATGCGACTCGTCCCAAACCACGTAAAAGGCTAGAGTATGTTTTGTTTAGGAGACGCGTTTCTGTCCACCAGTCTCCAGAGCGTTCTCTACGTACGGTACCCTACGCTTCCTTGTGCCTTCCAGCCTTACTCCTCGGCCTCCTTTCTCGAAGGACTTTTCTTACTATGGTAAGCTTTTCGTTTTTACCTCGATGTCGCTGTACGGATCGTATAGTCGGCTCATATTTGTGCCAGGGGAAACGCAAAAGCATTACTTGTGTAAGGAAGAGACCCAAAAGGACCACCATGTTGGTGGGATCTTCTGTGAGATCCGCGACCGTTGGTTCGTCGCCTTCAGTGTCTCCAGTGTCAGCCAAAACTCCACGGCCTAGACCACCACTTTCAATACGGAGTCCGCCGTCTGACAACTCCCTGTTAAGGAAGCGGGAGGCAGATAGATTCGGCAGGCAGCGTAAGAGAGCCTGTCTAGCTCTTGTATAACGTCTAAGCCACTCATAGGACCAGGATTGAAAGGCGACGGGTTTATGAAATCAAGGGTGAAGCACGTATCCCAAAACATCATACGTTCGAAATGGACGGTTCTAGATGGAGACGCTCAAGCGAAGGTAGAAGAGCTGTTGCGCTCAACAGAGCTACCAGTCCTTGCTAGTTACTCTTCGGAGCAACGGAAAATTGTAGCACAAATAGCTCTACGGTCTATCAACGGAACGTGAGTAGCATCCTAGGAGGGTGCTTTGCCGTGTTGCTAATCATCATCTAGGCTGTGCAAATGCCTTCCGCGGATGCCATTTCCTCCAAAGACTAAGGAGATACATTTTGATTACGATACACTTGTGAAAGATAATGTAGGCTTAAGGCGACTATCATGGACGTACTAATACTGATACTCACGTAGCGCGATCTGCAGCAGTCATTAGCTACTTCAGTGAAGTCCAATTTGTCACTTGTCAATGAAGTCGAGAAGCAGAAGCTTGCTCTTTCGTCAGAACGGCACGAACTTGAGGGTCTTGGATCCGCAGACCGAAGAGTGGTCGGCTGAATCAAGCAGTGGGGGATGCGGCTGCATTGATATATCGTGCACAGATGAACAGGATCTTTTCGTGAGGGAAATGCTCCAGGGTCCAGTGGAGCAAGTATCAAGTGGAACCATATCATCGAAAAGAGCGACAAGTGTCCCCCGAAAGGAATGTTCACACCGGGTTCGTGCCATACCTTGTGACCTGCCCAAGAGTGAGGTCTTCGAGACGAAAATGCAGACACTATCGATTCGCCGCGCTGGATCAACTATCACCCTGGGCTCAGTTCGCCGGTTTATGGTGTTCAATTTAGTTTGTGACTGCGAGCTCATTGATGTTTCCATGCACCAGCACCCCGTGTGCAGCAGGGTGCAAGTCTTCTCTATTTCGAAAATGGGCCTGACTGTTGAAGACGATTTGTCTCTTCAAGAGATATAGGTGGATAGCATGACCATGTATCATTGCAGGAGCTTCCCATGTTTGATTTGAAGGCGGTACTGCCCTTCTGCAGATATTGCTCCAGGTCCCATCACATTGAAAACTTTTCATACACTTGGTCTTTGGCCAGACCACGTAGTCTAGACAATGATACTCTTGAAATATGACACATGGGGGCCATGTTGAGAAAAACGCGATGGCGTAGTGCTTCTCTCTACTGTGATGTAGGTATGGTTGTTCTGGATATCTCTCAAAACATTGACAAAACTGCTCTCGATCTCTCCAAGAGAGAGTTTGCACTGGTGTTGAGCCTACTCGAGTGTTGGTCTTCTACCTGAATCTCTTCTTCACGGCCATCCGTAAATGACGAGCAGTCCTGAAAAGATGAGTCCTTGTCCAAGACTGATTTTGGTTTAATGATTCCCATACGATCCGAAGACCATAAGGAGTGGTCATGGTTATAGTTATCAACTAGCAAAAAAGAGATCTCGGATGAATCTGTTACAATACCAGCTCCTTCGGCTATCGCATACAATCCTTGAGAAAGAAAAAAAATTCCCTCAACTCTGGCACACCCCAAAATCAAAAATCAAAAATTTCAATTTTTCTATATAGGTTCTCAATTAGAATTAATTATAATTTAAAAAATTATTAAAATTTAATAAATAGAACATAGATTAAATTATAAAATTCTTAAAAGATTTAAATTATTCGTTATATTATAAAATAGAATAATAGTAAATTTTACGAAATACTCTTAATAGTATTTAGAATAAGTAAAGACTTATGAATTAAATTTATAAAGTTGAATTTTTCTAAGTTAAATCGAATTTTAGCTTTAGTTCTAAGTTAAATCGAACTCTAATCGCTTACTATACGTTTTTAATCTACTTCTATTATTATAAAATTAATTTAATCTATATAGTATATAGATATATATATATAAAGAGAGGCGCGCTAAGATTTAATTAGAAAGATATAATAATTACTTATAAAAAATAGAGAAAGAATTATATTCTTATAATAAGAAGTATTAAAATATTAAAAAGAAATAGAGATAATATATTAATTAGTAATATAAATCTTATAATATCTTTTATTATAGTAAAATTTTTCGAATAATAAAATAGCTATAAATATCGAACGATTTTAATTTATCTAAATATATATTATTTCGAAGTAATAATTTAATATAGAATTATAAAGAGTATATAATATAGAATCTTAAAGAGTTAAATCGTATTCTTAATAATAATAATCTTATTATCGCTTAATTTCTTTATAATATTCTTTATATTTATCTATTATAATTTCTTTTTTTACTTCTTAATATAATAGAGATAATAAACTAAGTTATAGTAATATTTTTCGCTTATTAAATAATAATTTAATATAAAATTATAGAGAGTATATAATGTGAAATCTTAAAGAGCTAAGTCGTATTCTTAATATTAAAAGTTTTATTATTACTTAATTTCTTCGTAATATTCTCTATAATATTCTTCGTTATATTCTTTATATTTATTTATTATAATTTTTTCTTTTATTCTTTAATATAGTAAGAATAATAGATTAAGTTATAATAATATTCTTCGCTTATTAAGTAATAATTTAATATAGAATTATAGAGAGTATATAATATGAGATTTTAGAGAGTTAAGTTTATTCTTAATATTAAAAACTTTATTATTACTTAGATTTCTTCGTAATATTCTTTATAATATTCTCTATAATATTCTTTATATTTATCTATTATAATTTCTTCTCTTACTTTTTAATATAATAAAAATAATAAATTAAATTATAATAATATTCTTCGTTTATTAAATAATAATTTAATATAAAATTATAAAGAGTATATAATATAAGATTTTAAAGAGTTAAGTCGTATTCTTAATATTAAGAATTTTATTATTACTTAATTTCTTTATAGTATTCTTCGTATTTATTTATTATATTAACTTCTCTTATACTAATTATATAGATTAATATAAGATTATAAAGAGTAAATTTATTATATTATTATTATTAATTATTATCTTTATAATATTCTTTATAGAGTTCTTTATATTTATCTATTATAGATCTTTCTATTATTTAATTAAATATAAGAATATCGAGAATAAATATATTTATATTAATGAAATTAGTAGAATTAATAGAATAATAAAAGAAGAATAATTATATAAATAGATAAAAGAATTATTATTCGATCTTAAACGTATTTAATATAATTATTATATTTAAATATTAATTTAATCTATTAATAATAGATTAACTTTTTTAAATTATATTATATAGACTTTATAATATATAAATAATATATAATATAGTTAACGAATTTTATTAAAGATTAAATAAAATTTAAATAAAAGCTAAAAAGAATATAAACTATTTAAAAAGTTATTATTAAAAAAGCTTATTAATAAATCTTATAATAGAGAAATTTTTAGATTATCTTTCTCTTATTTAAAAGCTTTTTCTTAATAATATTAAGAGACTTTAAAATAAAGTAATAAAGAATAAATTAAGAAGAAAAACGCGTTTTAAAAGATAATATCGCTAGATTAAAAGATATTATTATTAATTTAAAAGAAGTATATAAAGAAGAATAATAATTATAAATCTATTTAAATTTTTTTAAAAAAAATTTAATATATTTATAAGTAGTAATAGATAGCTATTAAGCTATAATCTCGATTATTAATAATAATAAATTCGCGAAAAGATAGTTTAGAGATATTAATAAAGACTTTAAAAGATAAGTAAAAGAAATATATATATTTAAAATATTAAGTAATCTTTAAGTAAGAGATATCGAAGATAATTATAATAAAATTAATAAAATTAATAGAATAATAAAAAAAGAATAATTATATAAATAGATAAAAGAATTATTATTTAATTTCGAACGCGTTTAATATAATTATTATAATATTTAAATATTTTAATTTACTAATAATAAATTAATTTTTATAATTTTTATAGCGTTAAAAAATATAAAGCGAGTTTTATAATTTAAGAAATTATAAAATAATTATATATATTATAAATTAAATACTTTAAAATATAAAACTTTTATATATAAATTTTTAATAAGAAAAGTATAAGAGAGTTATTAAGCTAACTTAGTCGATATAATTAAAAAATATAACAAACTTAAATTTATAATTAATTATATATATAAATTTAAGATTTTTAAGCTTAATTTTATTTTATTCTTTTATATATACTTATATAGAAAAATTAAAATTTTTAATTTTTAATTTTAAGATATATTAGAACTATAGAATTTTTTTTTTCTTAAGAATTATATAATTAAAGATAATAGAGCTAATAATTATTAGCTATTAATTATCTATTTTATATATATAAATATTTATATATTTTATAAATTAATTAATTAGTTTTTTAATTATAATTAATTTCTAATATATCTAATATTTTACTTTTAATAGAATTCTTACTATATATTTATAATCGATATTAAAATAGAATAAATTATACTTAATATTTATAAAATAAAGTATATATTTATTATATCTTATAAGAGAAGAGAAAAAAAGAGAGTTAGAGAGAAGATAAGAAAAATCTAATATCTCTATATTAATAAATTTTAGAAAACTAAAAAAATTATTATAAATACTTCTTATTAAAAATTAAAAATATATCTTCTTAAATAATTTTATAGCTACGACTTATTATAATTTAAAAATATTATAAATTATATTTATTATATTAATTAATTAATTAACTTAATTTTTAAATTTTTAAAAAATTCTAATTTAAATATTTTAAATAAAATTATAAAGTATAAAAAATATATTTAATATTAAAAAGTATCTTAATTATTTTATAAACGCTAAGACTATCTTAAAGAAATTAATTAAATTCTATAAAATTTTTATTTTATAAAATAATAAATAATTAGAATTCTCTATAAATTAAAAATTTATAGATTTAATATTTTTCTAATAAATTATAAATTTTTTAATATCGATATAAAGTTATTTTAGAAATTTTAATATTCGAATTTTTAAAAGAAAAATATTTATAATAATTTTTTAATTTTCTAAAACTTATTAATATAGAGATATAAAAAATTTAAAATTTAAGTAATACTAGAATTGATTAAAATAGATAATAAATTTTATATTTTATATTTAAATCGAGATATTTTATATAGTAATTTTAATTATAATTAAGAATTTTATATATATAAGATTTTTTATATAAATTAATATATATAAAAGAATAAGATAAAGCTAAATTAGAAAATTTTAAATATATATATATAATTAATTATAAATTCGAGTTCGCTATACTTTTTAATTAGATATTATTATAAAATATTTTAAAAATATTTATATAGTTATTAATATAGACTTAAAATTATATATATATATATTTATAAATTATATAAAATAATTAATATCTTTTATATTATATATATATATAAATTAAATTATAATAACTTCTTAATAATTAATAATAATATCTAGCTTTATTTTATAGAATATCTAAATATTATTAAAGATTTATATAAAATTTATATTAATATCTAATAATATAATATTAATTTAAT